TAAATTAACCATAATTTAAATAAACAAAAAGAATAATCATTTCAAACTAATCAATTAAGGTTAAACTTGAAAAGTTGAAATCAAAGTTAACTTTCAAAATATCAAATAAAATAAATTAACTCAAATACTCAAGCAGTGTGAGAGGAAGAAATTAAATAAATATACTGCGCAATATCAATTTAAATGTAGCTACATGATCCTATTTTAACACATTTCATTTTACAAAGTGCCCAAACACACACACCATACCAGCAGTTTCGTTACCTTAAAGCAGGGAGTGGGGCACACCCAACAGCGATCAGCTGTGACAGCCCAGGCACAACAGCAACTGTTCTAATAAAACAATGCTCCAATGAGCAATCAAGCAGCAATTGCATACCAATGTGATACTGCTATGCTAGGAACAAACTCACCAAGAGAGCAAATCAGTGGTTTCAGAGACTTGGATTATTTCCAGGGTGAAATGTTCAGCAGGATGCCAACAGCCAGCCACAATCACAGTGGAACAGGTGATGTAGTTTAACCTGGCTGGAGGCGGGGCTTTAAATAAGTTGGGGAGTTTGGGCAAAACAGGAAGTGGGCCCGCAAAAATAAAAGTCTTGATTGACTAATTGCGGGTTACATATACACTGCACACAATTATACAGCACACATCAAACATGGTGAAAATTAGCTTGGTAGCTAACCGTCAAGCAGCAATGCTAACATTAGCCCATATACAGATTGAAAAATGCAGCGCAATGAAACGCCATTAAACTCGCCTTCTGACATGGAAACAACAAGCCCAGTGGCTATGAGGATAGAAAAGGTGAATTATAGGAGAAAAAACAGACAAAGGCAATAATGAGCTGTACGCTGCAGTAGCAGGAGGAAAAAAAACTTTCTGGCATCTCAGACACAGGAGGGGTGCACTCGGTTGCAAACGGCAGACTACACCCTGAACCATTAATTAAAGAATTTGATCTGAAAAGTAGTTTAATCATTTCTTTAATCTGCAGATCGTCTGTTCAGACAGATTCCAAAGATTTGATGATAAAGGGTGGAGGTCCAAACCTCTCCAGACGACAGCGGAGCATTAACCATTATTTTATAGACTGATGTGATGTCAGTGCTGCAGTGCATGCTGGGAGATGTATTTCTATTCTGGTTATATGCAGTTTGATCATTTTTCGTTTTTCTTCTGTGTTATTTTTTCCAGACCGCCTGCAGGATTATGTTAAAAAAGAGGAGGAATCCTCTGAGCCACAGTTCTCTGAACAAGAATGGAATTCCAGTTTGGACCAAGTGGAACCAGAACCTCTGCAGATCAAAGAAGAGCAGCAAAAGCCAGAACTTCCCTGGAAAAAGGAGGAGCCAGTGGAGCTCCCCTTAAGCGAGCATGAAGACCAGCTGGTTCTGGAGCAGGAGACTGGAGGAACAGGAAATGAAGGTTTCCTATGTTTGACATGTGGAGAAAAGTTTCAGAAAAAAAGACAATTTAATGGTTCACATTAGAACTCACGCAGGAGAGAAGCCTTTTGAATGTCTGTCCTGTGGAAAAAGCTTCAATACAAAAGGCGTTCTCAATGCACACACGAGAATTCACACAGGTAAAAAAAATTTTCTCCTGTGGAATTTGTGGCAAAAGTTTTAATCAAAAATTTCATTTGACAAGACACATTAGAATTCACACAGGAGAGAAGCCTTTCGAATGTCTGTGCTGTGGAAAAAGCTTTAAATGAACGCTCTCTTAATATTCACATGAGAATTCACACAGATGAGAAGCCGTTCTCCTTTACCATTTGTGGAAAAAGTTTTTAAGAAAAAGTTGGTTCGAGTAAACACACAATTCACTTAGAAAAAAAATTGAAATTTGCTTTCAAACTTTACAGAAAACTTTTATTACCTTTATTAACAGTTCTAATCGACTACTATTAATAACTAATAAAATAGCTATGTATTGTTTCCATGGAAACTAGAACTGGTAAGATGTAATAATGTAAACCTGGTAAATATTTAAAGGGAAACTTTGTTTTTTTTGTTTTACATTGGGCCCTTGATTTTACGTTATTACATCATGTTTTACTCACCCAAATGAGTTTTGTGTCATTTGGAGAGTGTATGAGGTCATCCGCGCGCCGGACTGGAGTGGTAACAGGAAGCCACAGGCGGCTCCGCTCTACCCCTTCTATTCATTCTAGCTAATCTGAATCGTTCATCTGGAGAGCGAGATCATCTGTGGTAGCAGCACTAGACATCTTCCAGGCATGTGAGGAAAACTAGCAGCAGTTCAGCGTACAGGATGAATGAATGGTAGCCGGCGCACGCGGATGACGTCATACACACGCCGCTTCGTTTTCACACTACTAGAGGTGTAATGTTTTTACTTCAAAAAAATATTTAATGTATAATTTTGCCTTTAACTATTTCTTATATTTTCTGTCTTGATAGTACAATACTGAAAGTTGCAGATGTTTTTATTTACCTGCTATGATTGAAGGAAACTGTCATCTATTTTAATAAAACTATTTTTTATGCATTTTCTGCTGTGGATGTTTTCCTTTAATGTAATCACTTCTAGATTGATGAACCGAGCAGAACATTTTTTGATATTAGAAATAAAAAATGTTTTGTTATTTGGTTTCATTACAAAGAATCTTCTTCCTTTTTGTTTTCTGATATTTTCAGACAACCTTAAGTTTAATCTACAGGCAGGTTTACCACAATAGTAGATTCAAATAATAAAAATTATAGCTTTTAGTTTCAGTGTGGAGCCCCTAAAAGTTCAGTGGCCCCATCCGGCCCCCCCTCTATGAAACATTTCTGGAGGCTTAACTGCAGTTCATTCTTGTACATGGAAAGGGGGGGCGTTATTGCTGTTTTGAGTCTCACATTTTGTCATTGTTTTGATACAAAATCAGAATTATTTCATGGAATGTTATACTTTAGAGCGTCACTATATGGTCCATTTACTGATTTAATGCGTAATTAAAAAAAAGATTTCCGAAGTTGGGAGAACCGCAGCAACCAGCAGAGCTCTGAGGGTAACGGCAGCCAGGGCTAACATTATCCCATCTGCAGCAGCCCTCTCTCGGCTGAGTCTCACAGGCTAATGTTAGCATGGTGACAGCAGGCAGGCTAATGTTAGCACAGTGATGAAAAGGTAGGCTAAAGTTAGCATGGTGACATAAAGGCAGGCTAATGTCAGCATGGTGATGGCAAGGCAGGCTGATATTAGCATGTTGACAGTACTCAGGCTAATGTTAGCCCAGTGATGGAAAGGTAGGCTAATGTTAGCATGGTGAAATAGAGGCAGGCTAATATTAGCATGGTATTAGCAAAGCAGGGTAATGTTAGCATGGTGAAATAGAGGCAGGCTAATGTTAGCATAGTAACGGCAAGACAGGGTAATGTTAACATGTTGACAGCACACAGGCTAATGTTAGCACAGTGATGGAAAGGTAGGTTAATGTTAGCATGGTGAAATAGAGGCAGACTAATGTTAGCACAGTGATTCAAAGGTATGCTAATGTTAGCATGGTGAAATAGAGGCAGGCTAATATTAGCATGGTAATGGCAAGGCAGGCTAATGTTAGCATGTTGACAGCACGCAGGCTAATGTTAGCACAGTGATGGAAAGGTAGGCTAATGTTAGCATGGTGAAATAGAGGCAGGCTAATATTAGCATGGTAACAGCATGGCAGCATAATGTTAGCATGTTGACAGCACGCAGGCTAATGTTAGCACAGTGATGGAAAGTTAGGCTAATGTTAGCATGGTGAAATAGAGGCAGGCTAATATTAGTGTGGTAATGGCAAGGCAGGCTAATGTTAGCATGTTGACAGCACACAGGCTAATATTAGCACAGTGATGGAAAGGTAGGCTAATGTTAGCATGGTGAAATAGAGGCAGGCTTATATTAGCGTGGTAACGGCAAGGCAGGCTAATGTTAGCATGGTGAAATAGAGGCAGGCTTATATTAGCGTGGTAACGGCAAGGCAGGCTAATGTAAGCATGTTGACAGCACACAGGCTAATATTAGCACAGTGATTGAAAGGTAGGCTAATGTTGCTAATATTAGCATGATTGTTTACTATGGTGATAGTGAAAGGCTAATTGTACTAACTGATCTGCATTGGAAGCATCATCAGCTCATTTGCTCATGGAGAAGCAGATATTCATCCAGGTGACTTTGAAATTATGGTACTTATGTACTTATTTCTATCTTTAAATCATCAATGGATGCTGAACTAGATCATATAAAACTGACAGGTCTTCTTTATATTGCTAGTCTGTCATAAGAAAAGCTCAAAGCAGTCCAGCAAAATAGGATTAAGTCGTGTTTATCTGTGTTTCAGTTTCTTGTTTTTTACCAAGCATCATATACTATAAAAGCAACATGAAATGCAAAAATAAAACTACAGCCAAAACAATTAGTAGCCGGAGGTAGTGTCATGATGGGCTTTAAGGATCTCCTCCACATACAGAGAAACACTCAGAGAACCAAGGATAAAAGTTAACTGGTTTAATTTGAAGGTTTACAAAAACAGAGAGTGACATTATACTTCTGGGAAAACTCAGTGGGACCTCAGCGGACTGGTGAACCGGAAACGGAAAGGATTCCCCGGTGCTGCTCGGACCACTCCACAGCCCCCGCTCTCTGTCATACCGACGCCTGTCACCGTCACCATCAGGCAAGCGCTGAGTCGCCACTGCTTCCCTCCCGGTCCGGTCTAATCGCTCTGTGGTAAGCTCAGCTCCGTAGGTTTATCCACCCCGCTCTCTCCGCGGTCTAACCTCTTCTCTTTCCTCCTTAGGCGAAACCGGTTACCTGGCTGCCCTCCAGCTCGAGTTGTTTTCCTGGTCGGCGTTTTCCCCACTGTTCTGTTTACCCAGTGTTTAATAAAACCCTTGAAACCGTCCCTTTTTAAAATAACCCAGCATATTAATTCCCATCATCAGTGGAGATTTGATATAATATAACCAATGACAAAGCTGTTCTACAAGATAGTTTATCGATACACTTTAATGTTCTTCACAGAAATACAGAAAATAACATAGTGGTTATGTTACACCTTCAACCATAGCAGGTAAATAAAACATCTGCAACTTTCAATATTGTACTATCAAGAAAGACAATATAAGAAATATATCAAAGCTAAATTATACATTAAACATTTTTTTAAATTAGAAACATTACACTTCCAGTAATCTGAAACTTCTGTAATTCATTAATAAGTTAAAAGGCTTCTTTTTTGTACAACTTTAAGCAAGTTCAAAGTGATCAGCAAGAATATAAACTTTAAAGCAAATAATAGCAACAACTTTAAATTAATGTTTAACTCTTCAAACAAACTTTTTTTCACTATCGTAGGACAGTGAACTACAGACTCAAACCTCGAAACCAAGTTCTTTCTTACATCTTACCAGTTCTAGTTTCCATGGAAACAATACATAGCTATTGTGGTAGTTATGAATAGTAGTAGATTAGAACTGTTAATAAAGGTTTTCTCTAAAGTTTGAAAGAAAAAGGCCTTTAAACTGTGACTTCCTCGTATAAGGAGTTTCTAAATGGACATTTACCATAAGTAAAACATGGAAAAGGTTTCTCCTGTTCATTTCTGTGGTGTCTAACTGCTGTGACTTCTTCCAAATCGTTCCACGTCATGAATCAAGAATTCTTCTTGATTAATTCTTCTTCTCATCTGTGTGAATTCTAATGTGTTTATCAAAATTGAGTTTTTCATTGAAGTTTTTTCCGCAAGAGGCGTCCAAAAGGCTTCTCTCCTGTGTTTTCTCTAATGTGTCTAGTCAAAATACTTTCTGGTTAAAACTTATGCCACAAATTCTACAGAACAGTTTTTTACCCGTGAATTATAATATGTTTATTAAGATGGATTTTTTGACTGAATCTTTTTCCGCAGGACAGACATTTGAAAGGCTTCTCACCTGTGTGAGTTCTCATGTGTGGAATCAAATGACTTTTCTGATTAAAACTTTTTTCACAAATTATACAGGAGAACGGTTTTTCACCTGTGTGAATTCTAATGTGTTTATTAAGCATGCTTTTTTCATTGAAGCTTTTTCCACAGGATGGACATTTGAAAGGCTTCTCGCCTGTGCAAATTCTTGTGTGTCTAATCAAATGAGCCTTTTGTTTAAAACTTTTTCCACAAATTGTACAGGAGAATGGCTTCTCACCTGTGTGTATTCTAATGTGTATAAATAGTTTGCTCTTTTCGTTGAAGCTTTTTCCACAGGACAGACATTTGAAAGGCTTCTCTCCTGTGTGCATTCTAATGTGTGTATTAAGTTTGCTGTTTTCATTGAAACTTTTTCCACAGCACAGACATTTGAAAGGCTTCTCTCCTGTGTGCATTCTAATGTGTCTATCAAGACTACTTTTTTCACTGAAGCTTTTTCCACAGGACTGACATTTGAAAGGCTTCTCACCTGTGTGCATTTTAATGTGTCTATTAAGACTGCCTTTTTCATTGAACCTTTTTCCACAGGACTGACATTCTAAAGGCTTCTCACCTATGTGACTTCTCATGTTACTATTCAGTGAGTGTTCATCAGTAAAGCTTTTTCCACAGGACAGAGATTCGAAAGGTTTCTCACCTGTGTGAATTCTCGTGTGTGTCATCAAAAGACTTTTTAGATAGAAACTTTTTCCACAAGTTTCACAGGAAAACTCACCTGTGTGCATTCTAATGTGTTTAGTAAGACTGCTGTTTTCAGTGAAGCTTTTTCCACAGGACAGACATTTATAAGGCTTCTCACCTGTGTGAGTTCTCGTGTGTGGAATCAAATGATGTTTTTGATTAAAACTTTTGCCACAAATCGAACAGGAGAAAGGTTTCTCACCTGTGTGAGTTCTCATGTGTCTAATCAAAATACTAGCGTGTTTAAAACTTTTGCCACAATTGGTACAGAGGAACGGCTTCTCACCTGTGTGATTTCTAATGTGTGCATCAAGTTTGCGTTTATCACTGAAGCTTTTTCCACAGAACAGACATTGAAAAGGCTTCTCGCCTGTGTGAGAGCTAGTGTGAACCATTAAATTGTCCTTTTTCTGAAACTTTTCTCCACATGTCAAACATGGGAAACCTTCATTTCCTGTTTCTCCAGTCTCCTGGTCCAGAACCAGCTGCTCTTCATGCTCGCTTATGGGGAGCTCCACTGGCTCCTCCTTTTTCCAGGGAAGTTCTGGTTTTTGCTGCTCTTCTTTGATCTGCAGAGGTTCTGGTTCCGCTTGGTCCAAACTGGAATTCCATTCTTGTTCAGAGAACTGTGGCTCAGAGGATTCCTCCTCTTTTTTAACATAATCCTGCAGGCGGTCTGGAAAACAAACAGAAGAAAAACTTTCATTTATACGTTAAACAAAGGACACTTCACAGTAACCAGAACAGAAATACATCTCCCAGCATGCACTGCAGCACTGACATCACATCACAGTCTATAAATAATGGTTAGGCAATTCTGGGAGAAATACCCAACGGAATAGACAGGAAGGGGGATAGATACCTGTTAAGAATCTTGCTTACAGCAGCATTGAAATGCATAACTGTCAGATGGCTGAAGCCAGAGCCTCCTACATATAACATATGGATACAAAAAGTTTGGGACATTTACATGATGGAAGGAATAACATATTCCCTAAGGTTTCAAAAAACAGTTTTTAATACAAGATGGAGCTCTGTCATACCGTTACTAACTCAGTGACACAGCTACAGGATAGCCCTTTTGCATTAGCGTATATCTTTGGTCGATGGAAAATACTATGAATGTGTGGATTGTCTTGTCTCAGGAGGGGATTCATTCAAGTGCTGTGTACCATTTTATTTTATTTTACTGTTATCTGCCTGTTGATTTCAATCTGTTGTCATGTATGCATTATTACATGTGTTAGAACACCCACTGACTCACCTTTCGATGTCTCGTGTAATATAATGGCTTAGGTCGGTGGAGACAAAAGATTGTAACTGTGTTCATGTGTTATTAAAAATAAAAAAAATAAAGTTAAAAAAATAAAAAAGTAAATAATGGTTAATGCTTCGCTGTCGCAAGCAATAACACAGAGAAAGATTAGTCTTTGTTTTTGCAAATTCATTCAAAGGCATAAAGACCTTGCAGGCTCTTGCTCTTAGAAATGACAAGACCCCCAATTTAGGGGATGCAGACATATTTCTACATCACAGGAGGTGCACAAAGAAAAGGGAGGTGCAGCAGGAGAGCCAGAGCTCCATCCCATTCTGCTCTGATTCTTTATCCATTATCTGGATCCAGCTGACCTTGCTGCACAGTTAGATTATAAACCTTCTCTGACTCAAACTCCTTAGACACAATCAGTAGGGAAAGATTTAAAAAGATTATAAAATGGCAGAATGCACCTGTTCTGAAGACAAAATGTGGATAATGCAAAGCATCTTAAACAAACAGGGTCAAATGAGAAATCTCCTGTCCAGGGGTGATGCTGAGAAACTAGTCCATGCATTTGTTACTTCAAGGCTGGACTATTGTAATTCTTTACTATCAGGAAGTCCACAAACTGTAGTTAAAAGCCTTCAGCTGATCCAAAATGCTGCAGCCAGAGTTCTGATGAAAATGAAAAAGAGAGATCATATCTCTCCTATCCTGGCTTCTCTTCATTGGCTTCCTGTTAAATCCAGAATAGAATTTAAAATCCTCCTTCTCACATATAAAGCCTTAAATAACCAAGCTCCATCTGATATCAGAGATCTGATTGTTCCTTATGTTCCTAACAGAGCACTTCGCTCTCAATCTGCAGGTTTACTAGTGGTTCCTGTGTGTTTCACTCATACACGGCTGCAGGATCATATCTCAGAATCCATCGTCTCTACCAGGCTTTCTGAGCAGGCGGAAATTTAAAGAAGACTGGAAGATTCAAAGCAGGTGCGAAGAGAGAAAACCAATCAGATGTAATCAGGGATCAGAACAGCCTCCATGTTGGAATCTAAGCATCAGAAACAACATGGAACAGTAGCAGCAATGAGCAAACATGATGCAGACTTTAGCCTTTTAGCCTTTGCTCCGTGACGTGTATGGAGGACCAACTCTGCCATATTTAAAAATACTTAATTGATCGTTATAATCTTCAGCTTTATTTATTTATTACTTATTTTTAAGTATTTATTTATCTGCATGTGATTTTATTCTTCCTTTGTATTATTTTACCCTATTTATTTCTTCCTGTCGTATTTACTAGCCTGGTGAAACCATCCTGATCTCGCGAGCTTTCAAGGTTTCACTCGCTAATCAGTCTGGAGACTCTCCGTTAAAGAAAATTTGGAGCCGTTCACCAAACGAACGTCCAATCAGCGTTGGCTTTGAGGCGGGTTGAGGTGTGACGCAACGAGAAGCGCGACAGTTCAGTCTAAAGAACATGGCGGCTTCAGCCGATGAAACTAGCGTTAGCGTGGCTATCGAGCAAGTTTTATGGGAATTACAGAGTATTTCTTCACTGAAAGAAGAGCAAAACACTGCTCTGGAGGCTTTTCTCAGAGGAAAAGATGTTTTTGCTCTTCTCCCGACTGGTTTCAGCAAGAGTTTGATCTATCAATTGGCTCCTCTTCGTCGTCGCTCTGTTAGTACGTCATATGCTTCGTTGATCTGATTGGTTTATTTGGCCCGTCTATCACCAACATAGGCCAATCAGCTAACCAGTATTTTCACCCCTTCCCAAAATTACTTCAACGGAAGGTTTACAGATGGATATGCGGAGCAAATCCATCTGGTGGAGTCAGGTTACGTATTTACATCCCTGTCTGCATTTCTGCCGCATTAAGTAAATGAGGAAGGGGCGGGGCTTAGAGAGTCAACTTTTGCCCATTGGTCGGTTAGCATTTTACTGCATCAGTCTAATCTACTGGAGGGGAAGAGAGTCTGAAGACGAGTCTGAAGTCAGTGGCCGTTTCTCAATTCACTAGAATGCGATTACGGACTCGGGTTCTCACCAAAACTTACTTTTATTGAACAACAGCAACAGAAAAGAGAACATTTAACTTAATACTCTGAGCTCTGTGAGTTAAGAAGATGGACCGCCAACCAATGAGCAGAAGGTGACTCTCTAAGCCACGCCCCCTTCCTCATTTACTTAATGAGGCAGAAATGCAGACAGAAATGTAAATACGACAGGAAGAAATAAAGAGGGTGAAAAAATACAAAGGAAGAATAAACCAGAACAAAATATTACCACATGCACAAAATATACTTAAAAAAAATCAGTAATAAATAAATTAGGTTGAAGAATATAACGGACAATAAATAAATAAGGTGATTATTACAAAGGCGAATAAAAGACATATATACATTTATGTCTCACTGTATAATTTAATTTCTACCTACATTTATTTGTTTATTGTATTTTTTGGGGCAATTAATGGTATGCTTATTTATTACAATGTATTTATTTCTGTATTATTTTTTTTTATTATGGCAGATCTGGTCCTCCATATCAGGTGGACTCCCACTCTAAAGCAGAAGCTAGCTTTAGCTTAGCATGTTGATCTCCTCTAATGAGTTTTCCAATCAGCTGAGGCTCCAACCCTCAGTCTGCATCCTGAGGGAAACGTTTCTGTCAGGTGTTTCCTACCTATCCGGTGTAAGATGATCTGGGGGATCCTGGTGAAATCCAGCAGTCTGTGCTGATCGTCCATCTCCACTTTGGGCCTTTTCTCTCTTCCTTTAACCTCCGTCAATGTTTCTTCAGCAGGAGTTAACTGCTCGCTGATAAACTCTCCTTGAAGCTGGACTGAACACATTCTCCCTGCAAACACTCACACATCATCAGCCTCTCTACAAACACTCCACGGAGGAAGGAAGCTAACGCTGCTAGCCACCCAGTCCGCCTCCTCCTTCTTCTTCTTCTTCTGTTTCTTCTTCTTCTGGTCAAACTTGAGGTGCGCATTACCACCACCAACCTTTTTTTTTTTTATATACAACAGTTGGTGACATTATAACGTTAAGAAAAATGAGACATAGAAGGTATAAAATTAAAAATAAAACAACGGAAACAAACAAATAAATAAATAAAATAAACAAATAAATAAAATAAACGTAAAATAATAATAGCTGGGGGTTTACATTGAGTTTACGGTCATTTACAAAAGTGTATAATTTTATACCATTTTTCTTCTTCATAAATTTAACCGCCACCAAACTGTATGGAGATAAACAAGGAAACAGAAAACAAGAAAAACCAGGAAAACTAAATAAATTATGAAAACAATAAAATAAAGCTTTATATTTTAACCCAATATAATATATTTTTTCCCCCATCATGCCTTTTTTTCTTGTTTGTTGGCTGATTATAATGAATGCCTTTTATCTAAAGCTGTTTCATTTATAGAGTAGTTAATTGTGATGGATTTATTTTCGATCCCACACCTAGGAAAAGAGACTTTATTTAATATTTTTGCCATAGAGGCTTTGGGGAATTTCTAAAAAATTATATGTATTATTTTTCAATCCAGTAAATGTTGTATGAAAGATCAGAGATGAGATAGACATGAAATTAATTGGATGGTGACGCTGTTGAACGTTTCTCTATGATTATTTTTCTAGTATTGCTTCTTTCTATCAACGTTAAGCCCCGCCCCCACCCTAAGCCCCGCCCCTGTGTTCGGTGGTTCAGAGGAAGCTCAGGCTGCAGCTCACTGCCTGCCTTGCTGTGGTTGCTGAGAGATGTTGCTTCGGAAGAAGAAACGTTGAGTTCTTAATCCGGAGAAGCTGAATGTGGGAATATCTTTCTAATTTTACCGAAGGCTGATCATCATCATCATCATCCAGCTTCAAGGAGAGTTTATCAGCGAGCAGTTAACTCCTGCTGAAGAAACATTGACGGAGGTTAAAGGAAGAGAGAAAAGGCCCAAAGTGGAGATGGACGATCAGCACAGACTGCTGGATTTCACCAGGATCCCCCAGATCATCTTACACCGGATAGGTAGGAAACACCTTTCAATGCAACTTTATTTGTTTCTGCAAAGAACATTACAGAGCAACCTTATTGCACTATGGGTCTTTTGCAGTCACGTGACCTCGACACAAGGTGGCGCCATTTTGGGGGGGTAACCTGCCTAATCACAGTGAAGTTTATTGAGTTCAAGTAAAGACAGTAAAGCCGCGATAACTTCAGTAACATGGACATCCACAATAAAATGTAATTTACTATCTTATTTTGCTTAATAAAGATGGCTTTACTTAGCTAAACCCTGTTTTTCTCCTATTTCTATACATTATATATATATAAACTCTAAAGTACATATAACTCTAAAGATATATATATATATATATATATATATATATATATATATATATATATATATATATATATATATATATATATAACTTTAGTTATATATATATATAGATATATGTTATATATATATATATATATATATATATATATACATATATATATCTTTAGAGTTATATATATATATATATATATATATATAACTTTAGTTATATATATATATATATATATATATATATATATAACATATATCTATATACATATATAACTAAAGTTATATATATACACTATATTGCCAAAAGTATTTGCTCACCTGCCTTGACTCACCTATGAGCTTAAGTGACATCCCGTTCCTAATCCATAGGGTTCAATATGACGTCGGTCCACCCTTTGCAGCTAGAACAGCTTCAACTCTTCTGGGAAGGCTGTCCACAAGGTTTAGGAGTGTGTTTATGGGAATTTTTGACCATTCTTCCAGAAGCGCATTTGTGAGGTCGCACACTGATGTTGGACGAGAAGGCCTGGCTCTCAGTCTCCGCTCTAATTCATCCCAAAGGTGTTCTATCGGGTTGAGGTCAGGACTCTGTGCAGGCCAGTCAAGTTCATCCACACCAGACTCTGTCATCCATGTCTTTATGGACCTTGCTTTGTGCACTGGTGCACAGTCATGTTGGAAGAGGAAGGGGCCAGCTCCAAACTGTTCCCACAAAGTTGGGAGCATGGAATTGTCCAAAATGTCTTGGTATGCTGAAGCATTCAGAGTTCCTTTCACTGGAACTAAGGGGCCAAGCCCAGCTCCTGAAAAACAACCCCACACCATAATCCCCCCTTCACCAAACTTTACACTTGGCACAATGCAGTCAGACAAGTACCGTTCTCCTGGCAACCGCCAAACCCAGACCTGTCCATCAGATTGCCAGATGGAGAAGCGCGATTCGTCACTCCAGAGAACGCGTCTCCACTGCTCTAGAGTCCAGTGGCGGCGTGCTTTACACCACCGCATCCGACGCTTTGCATTGCACTTGGTGATGTATGGCTTGGATGCAGCTGCTCGACCATGGAAACCCATTCCATGAAGCTCTCTGCGCACTGTTCTTGAGCTAATCTGAAGGCCACATGAAGTTTGGAGGTCTGTAGTGATTGACTCTGCAGAAAGTTGGCGACCTCTTCGCACTATGCGCGTCAGCATCCGCTGACCCCGCTCCGTCAGTTTACGTGGCCTACCACTTCGTGGCTGAGTTGCTGTCGTTCCCAAACACTTCCATTTTCTTATAATACAGCTGACAGTTGACTGTGGAATATTTAGGAGCGAGGAAATTTCACGACTGGATTTGTTGCACAGGTGGCATCCTATCACAGTTCCACGCTGGAATTCACTGAGCTCCTGAGAGCGACCCATTCTTTCACAAATGTTTGTAAAAACAGTCTGCATGCCTAGGTGCTTGAATTTATACACCTGTGGCCATGGAAGTGATTGGAACACCTGATTCCAATAATTTGGATGGGTGAGCAAATACTTTTGGCAATATAGTATATATATATATATATATATATATATATATATATATATATATATATATATATATATATATATATATATATATATATATATATATATATATAGTTAGAAGGAATGGCTGGTTTTAGTAGATATTTATTTTCCTTATGGATAACTGGGAATATGGCAGTTGTAAAGGAATTAGGTAGTGTTTACATATTGACCCATACATTTATTATATCTGTAAGTAAAGGGATGTGCAGGTCTTTAAAATCCTTGTAGAATTCAGGAGGGAACCATCCTTTCATGGTGCTTATTAGACAAAAGTCTACTTAAAGGGGAACGCCGTTTTTTTGCATTGGTCCTTGATTTTCCGTTATTCCCTCATGTTCTACTCACCCATATGAGTTTGTGTCATTTGGAGCCTTTCCTCAGGCTTATCTACTGTCAGGATGAGTGTGTGTTGGTCGTACCTGAACCATCTGCTAGTCCTCTTCTGTTCAGTCTGTTTCTCTCTCAAGGCCACACCACTCCCTGCAGGACTGTGTTTGTAGCTTCTTCCCATAACAAACCAGATTCCTTCTTAAGGTTTCTTCATAACATGTTACTGTTTAACCAAAGTGTCTGTAATTTGTTATGACTCTGACTGCTTTCCATTGTTGTAAATAAGGAGGAGCGAACGCTGTCCAGAGCAGAACACATAATCTAAAGTTATGTGACTTATGAAAATGTAAACAAAATAGCACCTTATAGAGGAAAAAGAATGAATAATATAATCAAATAGGATAAGATCTAAAGTTATGTGTCACTTTAATCTGAATTAGATTTCACTAAATGAAAAACTAAGAGAAATTGATTTTCTTTTCCTCCAAAAATATTAATACACATGTATTTCATTTAAAACATATGAACTATGAAATCAGTGATTTTAAAGTTTTAAAAATGAATAAACCTTACAGTTAACCAAATATATGGGATATAGTTTGGGAAAATGCAACTAAAATACATAAAAGCTATGAGTTTATTAACTGAAATTATAGATTTGCAAAAAATAAATAAATAATTCCTGAAAGATTTGAATCAAAGTGGCATATTTTCCTGAGAGAGTGAAATATTAATAATAATTTTTGGCACATTTAAAACAATTATGTTTAAAAATGAATAAATCCTAAAACCTGCTTAATTGATTTAAATCAAGGATGATAAAAAACAAAAAAAAAAACATCCCAACTTTCAGAATTAGGACTGAAATAGCACCTGACATAAAGTTATAAATGGTTGGCTTACAGCAGAATAGTAACTGGTTCGCTGTTTATTGACTAGAGTTAAAGTACCTGCGTATAAACAGACTGAAAAGCGTCCATTTTACCGTTGACGCAGTTACTGGAGGTTCGGTAAAGATGGACGGGCTAAGGCCCCCCCCCCCCCCCCCCCCCCCCCCCCCGTGAGAGAAAAGGTCCCGACACACATGAAGGTTTGCATGCAACAATTATGTTTCATCATTTATGTTATGGCCATTTGTTTGTGTTTTGTTTGTCTTATGTGTTGTCTGTAGTGTCTGTGGATCCACTCTAACTATTGTATGTTGTCCATTTGTGAAATGATAGTTTAGCTTTTTTTTTGTCTTGGTAAAATAGAAATGAGGGAATAATTAAGGTTAAACTGTAAAATAAGGACAGTTTCTAGTTTCTGTGGCTCATTCTTCCCCCTAACCTGTTTTCAAAACAAAGCAGGAGTTAAATGTGTTAAAGATAATGCACAGCTGTTTAAATTGGTAATAAAGGGGATTGATATAAGGTTCAAATATCACAATAAAGAAAGTTTAATGAGACAGATTTTAAAAATTAAATCAAATGAACAGATTATGCTTGTTTAACAATAATTGGGCATTTCTTCAAATAATCAAGGACCTGTGTCATTATTTAAAAGCTAAATGCTAAAGTTTAATTTGTTAACCTTAATTCTTTAAGATTTAGATTAAACTTTAAGGGTAAATAAATCTATATGTGTGTAGCACAAATAGCTTGTATAAAAATAAATTGGGCTGATTGAATTTGCTTTTAAATTATTTACAATTCTTTAAGAAGTAAATCTATCTTGAAGCTGATCTGGAATAAATATGCAAATTTATTTAACATAATTATTGGTTAATAATTATACGGTGTTCAAATGACTCAATTGGAAATAATGATGATAATAACATTATTTAATAATAATAATAACGATAACATTAATAATAATGATTACAATGATAGAGGATATAAATAACAGGATTTAATTCCTACATTAAGATGAATGGTGGAGACTTTAAAATTATCTATTCTCAATGAATCCATAGCTCAGATATATCTGGAGGTTAAATTGACTGAAACTTTGTGTTTTTTCTTCAACAGAACATATTTTATTTGTTCTGATAAGGAAAAGGGTGGAAAGAAAAGGGCAGGCCTTTTTACATTTCTGCCTTCCCTTTTTACATTTCTGCCTTCCCTTTTTACATTTCTGCCTGCCCTTTTTACATTTCTGTCTGCCCTTTTTACATTTCTGCCTTCCCTTTTTACATTTCTGCCTGCCCTTTTTACATTTCTGCCTGCCCTTTTTACATTTCTGCCTGCCCTTTTTACATTTCTGCCTTCCCTTTTTACATTTCCGCCTTCCCTTTTTACATTTCCGCCTTCCCTTTTTCCATTTCCGCCTTCCCTTTTTCCATTTCCGCCTTCCCTTTTTACATTTCTGCCTTCCCTTTTTACATTTCTGCCTGCCCTTTTTACATTTCTGCCTTCCCTTTTTACATTTCTGCCTGCCCTTTTTACATTTCTGCCTGCCCTTTTTACATTTCCGCTTGCCCTTTTTACATTTCCGCCTGCCCTTTTTACATTTCCGCCTTCCCTTTTTACATTTCCGCCTTCCCTTTTTACATTTCCGCCTTCCCTTTTTACATTTCTGCCTGCCCTTTTTACATTTCCGCCTTCCCTTTTTACATTTCCGCCTTCCCTTTTTACATTTCTGCCTGCCCTTTTTACATTTCCGCCTTCCCTTTTTACATTTCCGCCTTCCCTTTTTACATTTCTGCCTTCCCTTTTTACATTTCCGCCTGCCCTTTTTACATTTCTGCCTGCCCTTTTTACATTTCCGCCTGCCCTTTTTACATTTCCGCCTTCCCTTTTTACATTTCCGCCTGCCCTTTTTATATTTCTGCCTTCCCTTTTTACATTTCTGCCGTCCCTTTTTACATTTCCGCCTGCCCTTTTTACATTTCTGCCTTCCCTTTTTACATTTCTGCCTGCCCTTTTTACATTTCCGCCTGCCCTTTTTACATTTCTGCCTGCCCTTTTTACATTTCCGCCTTCCCTTTTTACATTTCCGCCTTCCCTTTTTACATTTCTGCCTGCCCTTTTTACATTTCCGCCTTCCCTTTTTACATTTCTGCCTGCCCTTTTTACATTTCTGCCTTCGCTTTTTACATTTCTGCCTTCCCTTTTTACATTTCTGCCTTCCCTTTTTACATTTCTGCATTCCCTTTTTACATTTCTGCATTCCCTTTTTACATTTCTGCATGCCCTTTTTACATTTCTGCCTTCCCTTTTTACATTTCTGCATTCCTTTTTGACATTTCTGCCTGCCCTTTTTACATTTCCGTCTGCCCTTTTTACATTTTTGCCTTCCCTTTTTACATTTCTGCCTTCCCTTTTTACATTTCCGCCTGCCCTTTTTACATTTCCGCCTTCCCTTTTTACATTTCCGCCTTCCCTTTTTACATTTCCGCCTGCCCTTTTTACATTTCCGCCTTCCCTTTTTACATTTCCGCCTGCCCTTTTTCCATTTCCGCCTTCCCTTTTTACATTTCCGCCTTCCCTTTTTACATTTCCGCCTGCCCTTTTTACATTTCTGCCTGCCCTTTTTATATTTCTGCCTTCCCTTTTTACATTTCTGCCCGTCCTTTTTACATTTCCGCCTGCCCTTTTTACATTTCTGCCTTCCCTTTTTACATTTCTGCCTGCCCTTTTTACATTTCCGCCTGCCCTTTTTACATTTCTGCCTTCCCTTTTTACATTTCTGCCTTTCCTTTTTACATTTCTGCCTTCGCTTTTTACATTTCTGCCTTCGCTTTTTACATTTCTGCCTTCCCTTTTTACATTTCTGCCTTCCCTTTTTACATTTCTGCCTTCGCTTTTTACATTTCTGCCTGCCCTTTTTACATTTCTGCCTGCCCTTTTTACATTTCTGCATTCCCTTTTTGACATTTCTGCCTGCCCTTTTTACATTTCCGCCTTCCCTTTTTACATTTTTGCCTTACCCTTTTACATTTCTGCCTTACCCTTTTACATTTCCGCCTGCCCTTTTTACATTTCTGCCTGCCCTTTTTACATTTCTGCCTTCCCTTTTTACATTTTTGCCTTTCCTTTTTACATTTCTGCCTGCCCTTTTTACATTTTTGCCTTCCCTTTTTACATTTCTGCCTGCCCTTTTTACATTTCTGCCTTCCCTTTTTACATTTCTGCCTGCCCTTTTTACATTTCTGTATGCATTTCTGTCTCATTATGCAAATGAGGAGGGGATGTGTCCTAGAGAGTCAACTTCTGCTCATTGGTTGGCGGCCCATCTTCTTAACCCACCGAGCTTTGAGTATTAAGTTAAATGTTCTCTTTTCTGTTGCTGTTGTTCAATAAAAAAGTACGTTTTATTAGCAGGAGTTAATACGTTTATTATTTGAGGTGAGAACATTATACTTTTAAGCTTCTCCATATGGCCTATTCACAGATTTAATGCGTAATTTAAAAGAAAATGTTCTGAACTTGAGAGGACTGCGGCAACCATCGGAGCTTCCAAGCTAAGTTGAGTTAACGATAAGAAAGAAAATAAGAGTTCTAAATTGATACTTTCAATTAGTATTGCTGGAGATTCCCAGTAATTCCAGATTTGAACCAGTGATTACTATTTCAATGAAGGGCTGGGCAATATGAAGGAAATCTAATATCACAATATATTTTAGCTATATATATATATATATTAGGGATGGAACGGTTTATGAAGACCATCCGAACCGTTCGGTTCGACTGTCTCGGTTCGGTTCGCATGTGTTGCATTTGGTTCATGCGCTGCTCCTTTTCTTCATAGGCGAAGCGTTTACACTCCAGAGCAGAAGGTGGCGGTACTGCGACCAAAGCCAACCACCAGTAGTAAACAAGAAGAAGAAGAAGAAGCGGAGCAGCGTAGCCGGGTGTAGCAGAAAAAAGTCAGTTGTTGTGGAGAATTGTGTGGGTATGGCGAGTGGGAAAGAACAGGAGTTGGAAGACGCGCCAGCAGCACTTTATAGGTCTGCTGTATGGGACCACTTTGCATTTAGAGTGACCTACGATGACGGCGGAAACAAAATGGTGGATAAAAGTGCAACAGTGTGCAAGCATTGTGCAACACGTTTTGTTTATGCTAACAGCAACATGACCAACATGTCATGCTAACACTCAACATATACCGAACCGAAAACCGTGACCACGAAACCGTGAACCGAACCAAACCGTGGATTTTGTGAACCATTCCACCCCTAATAGATATATATATATATATATATATATATATATATATATATATATATATATATATATATATATATATATACTCTCGATACCATTTGAGTACCACAAGTATAAAAACAAAGACCCCAAAAATTAACAGAATTGTTTTTATTAATAAATAAAATACAAAAATAAACAAATACAATAAACAATAAGACCATATTTTGAGGTTGTATGCTGTGCAAACAGCACTCTTGCCTCTGTTATTTTCCAACAAAACTGGTTGTTTTTGCCCTCCTGCAGCAGCGCTGGTCATGCTCTCTACTGAGAGGTGTTCTGTCCGACCCGGCCTGACTGAGGTCTGTTGGTGAGGAAGTCTAGCAGCCGATAGGAGCAGAGATGGCGTCCTCAGTGGAGCGGTTCCATCGGTAGGCGAACTGGAACGGGTGGAATGTTGCCGGCAGACTGGAGACGATGTGTTCTTTAACCAGCCTTTGGAAGCACTTCATCATGATGGGAGTCAGAGCGACAGGCCGGTAATCATTGAGGGAGGTGACCTGAGGCTTCTTTGGGACTGGAATAATGGAGGCAGACTTAAAGCAGACTTAAAGGTTCAACAGCGCAATGTGCTTGGCAATGAAATTGTCCATAGGGATATTAAATAGTGCACCAATAACAGCGCCTAACATGACCAATAGGATGAGAGCTCACAATTCCTGAGATGTGAGCTCAGTGCAAGATTACGCAAGACAAGAGGGGGAATTCAAGATGTCGACCTGGGAAAGACCGGGTCAATAATAATAATCATTGAACTTTATTGATCTTCCATTGGAGAAATTTACCTCTGCATTTAACCCATCCCCTTGGGGAGCAGTGGGCTGCCATCGTGGGACACCCAGGGAGCAGTGTGGGGTTAAGGGTCTTTGCTCAGAGACCCAGAGTGGCAGTCTGTGGGAGTGGGACTCAAACTCAGAACCTCAGGATTCCAACATCTATGCCCTGACCCCTAGGCCGCCACTCCCCTTCAGCTAATTTGAACATTTTAGTTTCTAGGGGGGAAAAACGGGCCGTACAATTTTACCTTTTTTAGTAAAGGGCGTACAATGTATGGCTGTATATATGGCTAGCTAAAAGCCCTTTCCAGAAGACAGAGCAGCATTGACTGTTCAGTTATAACATGTGATGTCAGTGCTGCAGTGCATGCTGGGGGATGTATTTCTATTCTGGTTATATGGAGTTTGATCATCACATGGATGTTTAAGGTGAAGTGTCCTTTTTTTAACCTACAATTCAAAGTCTTTCTCCTGTGTTTGTTTTTCCAGACCGCCTCCAGGATTATGATGGAAAAGAAGAGGTTTTCTCTGAGCAGTGGTCCTCTGAACAGGAAGGGAGATCCAGATTGGATAAAGCGGAACCAGAACCTCTGCAGATAGGAGAACAGCAAAAGCCAGAACATCACGGGACAAGAGAGGAAACCATGGAGCTCCTCATTAGTGAGCACGAAGAGCAGCTTGTTTTGGAACAGAATACTTTAAATACTGGAAAGAAACCTTTACCATGTTTGACATGTGGAGAAGTGTTTCTAAAAAAAGACAATTTAATGGTTCACATTAGAACTCACACAGGCGAGAAGCCTTTTGAATGTCTGTCCTGTGGAAAAGAATTCACTCAGAAATCTGGTCTTGAAACCCACATGATAATTCACACAGGCCAGAAGCCTTTCGAATGTCTGTCCTGTGGAAAAGAATTCACTCAGAAATCTAATCTTGAAACCCACATGAGAATTCACACAGGCGAGAAGCCTTTCGAATGTCTGTCCTGTGGAAAAAAATTCACTCAGAAATCTAATCTTGAAACCCACGTGATAATTCACACAGGTGAGAAGCCTTTCGAATGTCTGTCCTGTGGAAAAAAATTTACTCAGAAACATAGTCTTGAAACCCACATTAGAATTCACACAGGCGTGAAGCCTTTCGAATGTCTGTCCTGTGGAACAAAATTCACTCATAAATCTGGTCTTAAAACCCACATGGGAATTCACACAGGAAAGAAGCCTTTCGAATGTCTGTCCTGTGGAAAAAAATTCACTCAGAAATCTTGTCTTGAAACCCACATGAGAATTCACACAGGAGAGAAGCCTTTCGAATGTCTGTCCTGTGGAAAAAAATTCACTCAGAAATCTGGTCTTGAAACCCACATGAGAATTCACACAGGTGAGAAGCCTTTCGAATGTCTGTCCTGTGGAAAGAAATTCACTCAGAAATCTAGTCTTGTAACCCACATGAGAATTCACATAGGTGAGAAGCCTTTCGAATGTCTGTCCTGTGGAAAAAAATTTACTCAGAAACATAGTCTTGAAACCCACATTAGAATTCACACAGGCGTGAAGCCTTTCGAATGTCTGTCCTGTGGAAAGAAATTCACTCAGAAATCTGGTCTTAAAACCCATATGGGAATTCACACAGGCGAGAAGCCTTTCGAATGTCTGTCCTGTGGAAAAAAATTCACTCAGAAATCTTGTCTTGAAACCCACATGAGAATTCACACAGGAGAGAAGCCTTTCGAATGTCTGTCCTGTGGAAAAATATTCACTCTGAAACAAAGTCTTGAAACCCACATTAGAATTCACACAGGAGAGAAGCCTTTCGAATGTCTGTCCTGTGGAAAAAAATTCACTCAGAAATCTGGTCTTAAAACCCATATGGGAATTCACACAGGCGAGAAGCCTTTCGAATGTCTGTCCTGTGGAAAAAAATTCACTCAGAAATCTTGTCTTGAAACCCACATGAGAATTCACACAGGAGAGAAGCCTTTCGAATGTCTGTCCTGTGGAAAAATATTCACTCTGAGACAAAGTCTTGAAACCCACATTAGAATTCACACAGGAGAGAAGCCTTTCGAATGTCTGTCCTGTGGAAAGAAATTCACGCTGAAACAAAGTCTTGAAACCCACATTAGAATTCACACAGGAGAGAAGCCTTTCGAATGTCTGTCCTGTGGAAAAAAATTCACTCAGAAATCTAGTCTTGAAACCCACATGAGAATTCACACAGGCGTGAAGCCTTTCGAATGTCTGTCCTGCGGAAAGAAATTCACTCTTAAACAAAGTCTTGAAACCCACATTAGAATTCACACAGGAGAGAAGCCTTTCGAATGTCTGTCCTGTGGGAAAAAAATTCACTTAGAAATCTAGTCTTGAAACCCACATAAGAATTCACACAGGTGAGAAGCCTTTCGAATGTCTGTCCTGTGGAAAAAAATTCACTCAGAAATCTAGTCTTGAAACCCACATGAGAATTCACACAGGTGAGAAGCCTTTCGAATGTCTGTCCTGTGGAAAAAAAATTCACTCAGAAATCTTGTCTTGAAACCCACATTAGAATTCACACAGGAGAGAAGCCTTTCGAATGTCTGTCCTGTGGAAAAAATATTCACTCTGAAATCTAATCTTGAAACCCACATGAGAATTCACACAGGTGAGAAGCCTTTCGAATGTCTGTCCTGTGGAAAAAAATTCACTCAGAAATCTGGTCTTAAAACCCACATGGGAATTCAGACAGGTGAGAGGCCTTTCGAATGTCTGTCCTGTGGAAAAATATTCACTCTGAAATCTAATCTTGAAACCCACATGAGAATTAACACAGGTGAGAAGCCTTTCGAATGTCTGTCCTGTGGAAAGAGCTTCAATAATAAACACAGTCTTAATAGACACATTAGAATTCACACAGGAGAGAAGCCTTTCGAATGTCTGTCCTGTGGAAAGAGCTTCAATAATAAACACAGTCTTAATAGACACATTAGAATTCACACAGGAGAGAAGCCTTTCGAATGTCTGTCCTGTGGAAGAAAATTCACTCTGAAATCTAGTCTTGAAGCCCACATGAGAATTCACACAGGTGAGAAGCCGTTCTCCTGCACAAATTGTGGAAAAAGTTTTACTCGAAAAAGTCATTTGATCACACACATGAAAATTCATACAGTTGAGAAGATTGATGAATGGCTGTCCTGTGGGAAAAGCTTAAATGAAAAGCGCAATCTTAATATGCACATTAGAAATTCACACAAGTGAGAAGCTGTTTTCCTGTATGATTTGTGGAAAGGTTTTACAAGAAAAGTTTTATGAAAGACATGAGAACATGGTTTAGAAACATTGTTCATGCACATTTGGAAGGATTTAGAAGAAGTCACAACATTTAGACACCACAGAAATGAACAGGATAAATCTTTTCCAGGTTTCACTTGTGGTAAATATCCATCTACAAACTCCTTCACCTCAGTACATGACAAAGGCATTTTTCTTGCTAAGAATAAACCTGTCATTAACCGTGGTACTCTATTAATTACTTGAAAACTAGAACAGATAGGTACAATGTTGTAAAACTGGTAAATATTTAAACTATGGAACACCAAAGAACTGTTTAGAGGCTGGAGTCTGTACTTTGCTGTTAAACTGAAGTCCTAAGACAGTGAATAATGTTGGTTTGAAGAGTTAAACTTTAGTTTAAAGTTGTTGCTGTTATTTGGTTAAAAGTTTATGTTCTTGCTGATCAGTTTTTACCTGCTTAAGGTTGGAAAAAAAGCTTTTGGCTTATTATTGTTTCACACTCCAAAATGTGTAATGTTTCTACTTTATAAAGATTTCTAAAGTATCATTTTGCTTTGAACTATTTCGTATCATTTTGTTCCTGATAGTATAGTATTGATAGTTGTAGATGTTTTGTTTACCTGCTTTGATTGAAGAAAACTATCATCTATTTTAATAAAACAGTTTTTTATGCATTTTCTGATGTGGATGTTTTCCATTAACGTAATCAACTCTAGATTGATGAGCTAAGCAAAAATATTATAATAAATAAATATGGTAAAAAAGTGATTAATTAGATGGTTTAATTAAAAAGAATTGTTTCTGATGATTTAAGACAACAAAAAGCTCTTCATATAAATTGTTTAGTTATTCATTGTTTTGCAATTATGCTTGTTAAAATATAAATGTATTAACTGTAACCACAAGTTATGATTGATTAGTCCTTTTAATAAAGGTAAAAAAATAAAGTGAGTGTTGGTCAAATGATTATAACTTACAGTTTGTTCAGTTACCAGGTGTTATTAACATGTCAAGCTAAGCTTTGTGGCTGGACTCTTGGACCAGGGGTCCGTTTAAAGATGCATGTTTACTGAAGACTGAATAGTTTTCTTAACCTGAAATCAGGTTTTCCACTTCAGAGTGTTTCCTCAACCTGTTTCAGTCACCGTAGTAACATTCTCTCCAACGACACAAAACATTGTTGTAGTTTTGGGCATAAAAAATAATCTAGGTCGGCTTTATTAATCTTAAATCTGTCATTATAGATATAATTTTTGGTATTCTAGAAATGTTTTTTGAAATCCCATACTGTGAAATCAAGCTGCAGTATGGGATAAGATCATTTGCTTCAAATTAATGTTCAAAGAATTAATTTCTTTCCTGCTGTATTTCGGGAAAGCTTATGATGGATTTATTTTGCATGATATCAGGGTTGTTAAAGATGGCCGTGCGGTTGCATGGTATTGCTGAGGATTCAGTCATTCTGAGAAACTCCCACCAAGCTGTCAAAGATGAGCTAATGCTGATGATTTTCAAACTTAATGCGTAAACTAATAAATTGAAGATCTGCAACACTAATAATGGATGATAACGTCTTGTGAGCTTTCTTTTAGCCGTTTACATCTGGATTGTAGCCTGTTTGCTAGGAAGTAATGATAGAAGTTGGGCAGATCTAATCCTATTTTTTCTTTGGTCTTCCGTAGCGTTTTTAAGTTGATATGTGGGGGTTTATCTTTCCAGAGAAATTTGGTAATGGAAGAATCTAAATATTTAAACCATTCTGGGAATGGTTTGTTTGGAATAATTGAAAATAGCTCATTTATTTTTTGGTAAAACCGTCATTTTTATTGAAGCAACCCTACCAAGGAGTGATCTGGTTAAGGACTTCCTCTTTTTTTAATAGTGGGATGTGGTTTTAATTTTTTTTATGACATCCACATGTTTTTGTAGAGCTGTTGATGCCTAAATATTTAATATTTTCTGACTGCTGTTGTTTATTGGAGGCCTTTTGGAAACTACAATAAATAGGTAGGTCTGTGTATTTTGATCAATTTATAGAGTAATCAGAGATTCTTTAGAAAATGTAATCACACAGAGAGCGAGGTGTGGAGAACGAGTAATACATCATCTGCATGAAGACTGACTTTCTGTTCCTGCATTTAATAATTCAATTCAATTCAGTTTATTCATATAGCGCCAAATTCACAACACATGTCATCTAAAGGCACTTTACAGTTCAACCAGATCATACAGTCAAATCGATACAAAGTTTTCTATCTAAGGAAAACCAGTTGATTGCATTGAGTCATTGACTCAAATACAATCCCTCACACTAAGCATGCTTGTATGCTAATACATTTAATATCATTGGTGTTTGAATAAAGATGGCAAACAATGAGGGAGAGAGCGGGCGTCCTTGCTTAGTGCCCCTCTGCAGATTAAAGCTAGAAGAAGTTTGGTTATTTGTTCTAATCAGTGGCAGCTGGCCAATAGAGGGCGCTGCCCCTACCACCCAATGACCCTGATTAAGACAAAAAAAAAAAAACACTAAAATTATAAATGTTAAAATGAGGAAGTTATGTCCCCTAAAAAGCAGTTGTGCCTCGGGGGCTTCCTCACGGTTCTTTTCCTGGGAGCAAGTTATTTACTACTCTTAACTCAAACTGGGTAAAACCATATAAAAAGGACTATAAACCAGGAGTAAAAATAGTTTATTTCAGATCAGGTCGTTACAGGACAGAGAAAATGCTTGGAGCATGCACAGCTGTGGGCTCAAAAATCACGTCTGCGAGCGTCCGGCAAAGATTGAGCCCCGAACAAGGTCATCTCCTGCTTCTTATAGCTCATGAGTCTATGTGTTGCATCATGTGGATGTTTAGCTGTCTATATCAGAAACTGACACGCCATCCATGTCTTGAACTTCATGCAGCTTGCTTCTATGCCTCAGGGTTACAGATAGCTCTCCTCTATCAGACCGGCTCTAAGATGTCCCCATATCCTGTGTATTTTTAAAGACACGAAGGCTGTCCTGATTAGATGACCTCCGTACACACCGTGACATCCACAATGTGAAGGAAGGCCTTCTACTCTCTCTAATCTGGCTAATAAAGTAAGAAAGCACATGATGTATAAAAGAATAAACCTAACACAATGTAGGCGCCCTAAGCCTGTTTTATGTATAGTTTGAAATTATTTGTATTATGAGAATTTGATATTTCATTTACATTAATGAGTGACAATAATAATTAGATTTAAAAATATATACAAGTTAAAAAATGTTCATTTAAAATATTTACAGGACGCTGCTTAGTGTGCCTTTTGATGACATCATTTTTCTGCACCAGGTGCCCGGTAAGGTAACCGTTGTAAACAGACACGGGAGGAGGAAGGTTGGTGGCTCATGGTTTTCTGACCGTGTCTTGCTTGGGCCATGCTCATATTGTTACTCTGTGGAACCTCAGATTTAGTTTTGTGAAGGTTTAAGAGGTATATTTTTGTATGCATTCATTTTTTTTTTTGTTATCACCTTTGTTTTAAAATAAAAAAGGCAAAACGTGAAATCAGTGGAAGCTATTGTTTTTTTCTTGGATTCTGGAACACGCGTCAGCCACAAAACTCCAACCTAATACGGATTTAATTGAAACTCTTGGATTTACCCTAATTTTTTTTTTGCAAGATAAATATTTAATTATTAATGTTGAGTAAAGCTGTTTTCTTTCCAATTCTAACTCAGTATCAATGTGCAAAAATCTTTGCACATTGATACTGAGTTAGAATTCGAATTCAGGGGCTGCGTCCTCCAAAGGTCAGATTCGTAGGCCGATTATGTCGGCGCGATGCCGAGCTCTGGTCGGATTTCATAACTCCTCGTTATGCAGCCTACAAATTGAAAAATTGATTTTTCCCCGTTTTAAAGGACGGATCCACTGCATCCTCTGTAGCCTTGGGTATCCCATGATTCATTGCTAGACCAGCAAGCAAATGGGTTATCATGGCGCCGAACAGTGGTGAATATTGGAAGTTCCGTTTAATAGAATCCAAGTGTGTAAAAAGTGTGTTCCACCCAAAAGGGGGAAACAGTTTTTGAGCGCAACGCAATACTAACGTGACGCAATGCTACCGCTATTGAAGTGAAAGCTATGTGGATCGCTGAAACTATGTATGCGGGGTTATTGTCAACAAGTTAGAGATATGATATTATTGCCGAGTCATGGAAATAAATGGATTACCTGCACTAACATCAAGGACGGCTCTCATTTCAATTAAGCCGCTAAGTAATCGGCGTGTCAACTTTACCCCGGTGGACCACCTCAGGGGCTTAGAGCTTTGGCTTAGCCTCTACACCAGGATTATGGACAAATTATGAATTATATTCCCCCAAAAATTGATCTATTTAGTTTAAGGTTGCCTCAGTAATATTCCAGTTCCTAAAATTAAGAAAAATGTATTGAAGGAATCAATATAATAGATGAAAAATTCAAAAACATCTTAAAAGTGTCAAATATCTTAACCCAATTAAGACTTTTACATTTAAAAGGAATGCTCCAAAAATGATATCCGTGCTTCAAGAACCAAATATCTGCCTAAATATAAA